TAGCCAAAAATTTCAAACGCACTCATATACGCTTTTTGATTTCAATCAAGGAGGTGATCTGCTGGGAATTCGGGCAGTCTTTTCATTGTGGGAAATTAAAGGCAGTGTTGACAAAAAAGTAAGGATACCCTTTTTTTGACGGTAATAGGTAGAACTACTTCAGAATAAAGCGATAACAACGAAAAAGCGCAAAAAAAGAGCAACGAAAAGTATTACAAAGGGACAAAAAAAGTGCTAGAAAGTGGGGTTGGACATCTTTCACATTGGAAAACGGCGGTTATGGAGTGTTCGGACGAGTGCACGAAGGCGACGCAATGTGTTGTCTGCAATAGCAGACATCACATTGCGTCTCTGGCAATTTGCCAACCAGCTTATCGACTTTTCACCAGCTTCGCTCCAGTGCGAACGTGTTGAAGGACAACTTGAACACGTAGTCAGCCTAACGAGGGGCGGAGGCATCGCGTCCCCCACTGTTCCTGGCCTTATTGTGCCCTATCCAGCCGTTTTCCGACCTAATTCCTGCACAAATGTTATCAGAGGGGGCTCAGAATTCTAACCATGTGCATATCTTCGAAACCATTTAGTCGTTAACAGTGCCTTTAATTACCGTAGTTGCGGATTACCGTAGGAATTCGGATCCGTGATAAACAGTCATACTATTACCAGTAGGAGGCGGTCGATTGGCTTATTGATTTTTCTCTAATGTTGCTCCAATGCGAAAGTGGTGAACGGCAATTAGGTTTCATAGTCAGCCTAGCCATGGGCGGAGGCTGGCCTTGCTTCACCCTCCGGCCCCCTATTGGGCCCTATCCAGAAGGTTTTTCAACTTCATTCCGGCACATATGGTATCAGAGGGGGCCCCGAATACATACCATGTGCAAATCTCCGAAACCATTTTCATCATGAACCGTGCCTTTAAGCCTTACACCTCCTTTTTACCAAAACGTCCGTCCTCGCACGTGAGTAGCGATGTTATCTTTTGAGAGGTAAAGCAGAGGACGACAAAACGTAAGGCAGTGCTCACCTTTTATGCAAAAATGCTCGCCAATTCAGACGACTCAATCGCCAGGTTGTAACGGTAAGGCCGCTGGAAGATCCTGCTCCAGTTAGGGAGCATCTTAAGAGCATGAAGAGAGAGGACCTAGAGCGAGCTGGCCATACTTGCAGCGGGTCAGAGTTTCACCTCTTTATATCGTCTAGAAATTCGCCCGTGGAAGTATCCAGTTGTGTTCTTGAGTACGATGACCATGTCCATTTCTCTGCCTTGCGCAGAGTCAACAGTATGGAGCGCAACTCCTTGCAAGCGGGTGCAGTCGCGTAGCCGGGTGGATTGTTTTTTGTAGGACGTGATCATGCCAACAACCGACGAGGATACTTTCCGCGAAAGTAAGCTTCTAATGACATCTTGGCAACACTGCGCCTCTTCCTCGTTGTAGTGTGAGAGCGAGTAGGAAGTACGTAAGGTACCTTGAACGTTCACGAGGACAAAGGCAATTCTGGGGTTTGGAAGGGGGAGTGCCGCATGAGGCGACTGTGTCGTTCTGTAGGGGTGCCGCTACTTAATGTGTAATAGCATGTTTGGAAGTTGATTAAAGGCGGAGTGTGCCTGAACCGTAGTAGATCCGTTACTCCTCTGGCTCCCAGTCGCTCCGCTAATGAGGTTCTAGGGCATCGCAAATGTGACTGAAGCTGATGAGCGTCTCCAATATAAACATGGCGAGCTTGAGGAAAATGAATGGCCATTGCACAAAACGCGCTCAGAAAGTGGCAATATTCCTCCAAACTCAACAGCGTTTCCGTGAATTGCGCGACGGCGACGTTCGTAGTTGCATCCATCCATTCTCCAGGGTGCGACGAGACCAGAAATCGCTTCCAGTCTCATAATGGATTTTTCATTTTTGCTCATCGAGTTAATCCTCCCATATGGGTTTGCCCACCTCTTGCTAGGGGTAGTGTACCTTGTGTAAGCAACAGTCTTAAAGGCACCGTTCACATAATTTCGGGTAATCCAGAATATGATGAAAAATGGAAGACAAGATCGAAACCAGTGCGACTGAGGTGAAGAAACTGCGTGCATCGGTGTTCCCAAAGTGAAAAAAGGCTTCGAAAAAACGTTAAAAAGGGCTGGACGTGAATGAAACCAGAAAAGTGAAGAAGGGTGGAGCGACCGGACGAGCTAAATAGTGTGTTTCACTGCGCGCGTGTGGGTCCTGGTGCGAAGAACAGACAATGGTAAGCAAAAATTCATTCACTTATAAGCATAAATAAACAAAAAAACCTTAGTAACAGCAAAAGTAGCTCACCTTTTTCAGCTTCTCGGAGTAGGAAATTGAATAAGGGATCGCGGCAGCAAAAAGAAAAACAGAGGAAAAAAGAATGGGAGAAAAACATCGCCTCATCACTCGGCGATTAGCTGATTGTGCGTGGGTCCTAGAACGAATAACAGCAATCTGTATTGTCTCGACATTCGTCTAACGTGACACCGATCGAGGGGCGGGCACGCGAACTACGGCAACAACGGAGCTGCCACTATGCCCTGGACGTCGAGATTGGGGGAGTGAGAGGGTCCCTTCTACAACCCATGGGGGCCCCGAGTATTAATAAGGTAAGAACTCAATAACTTTTTTTATCGTGAACGGTGCCTTTAAAGCTAGAGCCAGCACTAGTATGCAGCTTTCTTCTCCAATTTCCTTTAGTGAGACCCTCAAATGGCTATCATGGTGTGTTGAGTGACGGTACAGAGTGGAAAGCATCAAAGAGCATTCTCCGAATTCTGCAGAATTCCCATAGACAATATATTTCATTTTACGGCATAACCTTATTTGATTGCACAGATTTCACCCCTCTACATATACGACGTCCCAAATATACGACGCATGAAAAAGGGGCTCTAGAGAAGGACGCAGGCAGGTTGTGGGACAGCTAGGGGTAGTGTAGCGCATTTTAAAAAATGGCGAGAAACTGTGCCGCGCTGCAATGCCAGAGAAATAGGAGGCACACAAGTGGAACCGCCACGCGATCGCACGCAAGCGGCAGAAGATGCTCTTTGATGCCTTCCGCTCTGTAGCACTTATCTAATGTCTTCGACTTCATCAAACAGCAGCGGGTTTAGGTAGAGCTTACTTTCACCGAATATGGGAGAAGAATAGAAAATGAAAATGTTAGAAGTTTTTGAGTAATTTCTTGAATATTCTAGACATTGTTCACTATCTGAAGGCTTTTTTTTGATGAAAAAAATCTTTTTTCCTCCACAACTGACGGCGTCATCAGACACACCACTTCATGAGACTCGATGTGGTTATCATAACCATCACCGCGTACAGCAGCCAAATAACTGCGGTTAAGAAAATGTCCCATCATGACCACCAAGTTCATTGATTGATACTAGGAAGCTGATTGAAGAGCTCAAACTTGTTTGTTCTATTTCACCCTTTCGTTCCAAGGTAAAATGGTACATCTTGTAAGTAGCTCACTGTAGTTGTTCTCTGCTTCGCGCTCATAAAGCGGTGGCCTGAAGGTGTTGGCTATAATAACAACAAAAAGCACTTCACTTGATATTTATTCACGTTGAAGGGCAAGTAATACATACATAGAGAATACTGGAGTAAATGAAAGAGCTCAATTAGTAATTGCACTCACATTGGCTTCATTTATTACATTATTACGAAATAGTAGGTGGATACCAAATTAGCAAAATCGATATTGCTCCCAATATGTCACCTACTATACGGAAAATATTATTTGCAATAAATATAACCACTAATAAAGCCGTACACGTCTACCATTTATAATAGTTACATGCGATAGTTTTGCCCATGATAGGACGCTTTTCAAAGACGATCATGAACGCTTGAAAAGTCTTCTGCAGGAAAGCCCTTGATATGGACAACTCAAATAGCAAAGATAAGTTTTGATTGCGTTGATTACCCTGATATGGTGTTGTTTTTATGGATTGTGCAGAAGCATAGCAGAATCCATAGATGATTCTCATGGAACTGCTTTACCCTTCCATCATTTTAAGTCTTGATATTGTTCACGAGTACAGTATTCCTTTGAGGACCAGCGGTATACGGTAGGTGCGGTAGACTGCCGCAAAAGTCTGTGGTCGTAATCACTGACGGCGCTGCGATCATTGACATATTTGAATGAAGTGATGAGGGTCCGAGTTGGTGGTGGAGAGTGAGTGGGGCCTGAAAGAACGGAGAACAGCGTAGGACAAGCCAATCAAATACTGGGAGAACCATTCTCGGCACCTTCCCGTTCAAAAATCCTATAAGGGTAGGCAGGGCAGTGCTGGTTTGTACCACACATGGGAACGCATAAACTTAGCAGGAATCATTCATTGTGGCGAGACGTAGCGTAACGGAAGCACGCGGGTGCCAAGCAGTTTTTGTGATTTCTGCAGGGGTTACTGCACCATGTAACTGCAGTATGGCTTACCGCGAAGAAGAAGTGAGGCGCTCAAAGGCTGCTTTCGGACTTCGACGTCCGTCCGTCCGCCCGTCCGTCGCGTGCGTGCTGCGGCGGCGGTCGCGAGCGTGCCGCGACCGCGGTTCTAGAAGGGTATTAACAGCACGAATACTGATCGATACCGCATGACTAATTTCATCATCCCCTCTTGCGGTATCGATCGGTATCAGACGCCGTCAACACATTCCGAGCACCGCCGTCGCTGCACGCACGCGATCGCCGTTGCAGCACGCACGCGACGGACGGACGGATGGACGGCGAAGTTTGAAGGTTTGGTTTGTCAGTTTCAAGGGTCATTCAAGTCGTATGCGAATATGTCTACCTTGACTGGCGCCAACATTAAAGCTCGAAGATGACCAGTCTCGTTTTTCAATTGTTCCAATTCCGCACGTAACTTCATGTTCTCTCGTTCAAGTGAGGCCGCACGACAAGCCATATCGTCCTCCTCAACAGAAAAATCGCCTTTGTGTTAGTGTAATGAATAGCATATAATGAGTGACCGGTTCTCAAAGCATGAGATGCAACATAAGAGCAACCATTGAAAAATAAAAGAGCGAAGATAGACTACTTAAAATCGTGTTGCGTGGACTATTCGCTACCCCACTCTGACATTCACGGTCAGAAATCCGTTTTTTCCAACGGAAGCCAACTCCTACGAAGCAACAAAATCTGCCTCTTCATGTTTGCTTTTGCTTCGCTACTCAGATTCGGGTCTTTATTCGATTTGTTAGGTTGTAACTTTTTCATTTCGCAAGGAAAGTTTCTTTCTCTCACATACTGGCCATGGAATGTTAAGGTATCTGATCTGCAGAAATATAGTTCGTTATGATTCAAGCAGTTATCCTGTAGAACAGAAGTTCAAAGCACTTGAAAAAAGTTGCAGCTACTCAGTTGCCAACCTAATAGGTACCATGCGAAGTCCTTAATCGAGCGATGTAACCGGTCTAATCAGAGGGTGTACGGTGCCCACACCTTGTAAAGCGGGAACGCTGTTCATCCGAATTTAAAATAAGACTCAATAGATAAACAGCGAAAAAGTGTGGATTTAGATCAGATTTGCTTATTGAACGAATTGACCACCCAGCAACAGATGAGTATGAAGATAGAAGAAATCATCTAGTCATTTGGAGTACTGCGCAATGCAAGTTGAACAAGTAAAAGACTTCGGGGAAGATGGACTCGGAGGCAGTTGTAGCTGAACTCTACTGGCCTGTGAACTCTCTCACAAACTACATCGAGGTGCACTTCACAAAGCTCAACCCTTGAGCCACCTGATCTCGTGCTCTTCGAGCGCTTTCTATGCCACGATGGGTGTCACAATCGAAACATTTGCTTGAGAAGAGAACCCGTGTCCTGTCCATAGTGCAAGGGGCCAGCCGTCGTCTCTAGTGGGTCATGTTCTCGTAGTAGAATTCTTCATTTGAGAACCTGTCGAAATATTATCATTTCAACCTGTGTCTGACCTCACTAGGCGTCCTTGGCATTGCACGGTCCTTGTGATTTACACTCCTCACTACTAAGATTTCTTCATTGGTCCGGTGGCCAATTTGGCTAACTCAAAGACAAACTTCTCTCCTTCTCGACTATCTAGCTTCTCGTTTTAGCGTTCCATTTCCATACTCTTACTTACGCCTAGGCGGCAATTACGAGCTTCTTGAGACTACTGAACCTCCTGGAGTTTGCGTCTTTCGCAGCGCTGGTGGGCAGCTATCTTTTGAAAAGCTCTATGTCAGCAAAGAAAACTTTGCTGCGAGCGTGACTTCACAAGGCAGTGTCTTAATAAATTCCTGCGAACTGGCAGGTCGTGAAATCCCTCCCATTCTTCGCTCTTGACATCTATTCTTCCATCTCAATAAACCATTCCATTCACTGCCAAAGTGACCGCTCAGTTCACCCGCTAACGTTGTATATTTTTCTTCAAGGACTGTATTATCTTGCAGTACTTGCGGAAGGTGACTTCCGGTTGGTACACGGATAGTATTGTTCACCACTCCATTTTGTGCCTATCCTGGAAACTATGAGTGAATAATGCTATGAGTGATTGAACAGCGGAGACATAGGGTTGAGGAACTCCGCGATTCGAGATCACCAGGTTCGCGCTATTTCGTTTGGAGTCCCTCCGTTGTAGTGGAGCTTAATGTCTTCCCCGACTTTTCTAGAATTCGTTCCTTTCCAGTGTGTCTCCTGAAGGCATAGGAGTCCTCTCAAAGCGCAGAATGTGAATGCTGCTGTGCTCCATAACATCAGCAAAATTTTCCATTATATAATCCTAGTCAAGGGTCCTAGTTCAAGAGACTTCTTTTGCCGGTCTCGGCCAAGAAGTGAACTTCGTAGCCGTACATACAACTCGAACGGAGTCCTGCGTGTCACTTGCAGGTGACGTCGTAGTTTCTTCACTGAATCTAATGTAATAGAGGGTGATATCTGTGGCGTCCTTGTATACCATGCGTGACGCTGTCAGATTGGTAAGCGGCCCAGAAAGTATGTACGTTATAATGGCTCAGAGACTGTGTCGATCTAATGCTGCACCTATAGCGGAGGAGTTTCAACGGCGTTGTAGAAGCAGCGCAATCTCAAGGGACCTCTATGTTGGAGATTCAAAGAACTAGATGTGACCCATGACTATAGTGATGAGCAGTCTTGGACATTTTGGCATAATTTAGTCAGCTCTTACGCAAACGCAAAAACTAAACTATCGTCCAAATACCGTCTATACACCATTCTCGTCGTTAACGTACGACGTATATTTCCACTTCTTTCAGAAAATCTTATTTTCAGCGAAGTAGACGGATTTTCTTGCTTTTTTCGTCACGGATTCACTTTCCTCCACAAACACTTTCGTTTTTCAACTTCAAAAGGGTACCTAAAATTTATTGTTAACTGTACTCTTGAGACACTTTATACGTAGCAATTGAGTTCCAAGATTTTTTCACCAGTCTTGTCAACCATGGCCTGATGCAGGTATCATCACCATCTTTTGCAATTTTGCAAGGCTTGATTTTTGCATATTTGAACAATCTACGCCTCCTTCCCGTCAGAGCATGTAGATCTACAGTTTGAGCATTTGCCATAAGGCATGGCGTGTGCCTTTCAAGGTGGAATTGTGGAACGGATTTCTCTTAGCAGATCTATTAATGGAGCATAACCTGACAATGCGAAGCCATTCGACTTTATTACATTATGGCCTTAAGAAGACAAATATTCTAATGTGCTAGAGTTATGTGTTAGGCAAAAATCGAGAAAACTTGTAAATGGACTAACTTTCTGGCGTCTACTATCTCGGCTCTTTTTCGCTGCATCATTGTTCTTTCTTCGGCGTTCCCAGTACGCACTGTCCTTTACCAATTCCTAGACAAAAGCGATTACTGCCAATTTATGTGTGAGAAGTGTTTGACTTAGAATCCGCTTCTGAAGGCCCCAGTAGGGATCTAGTTTTGATGGTTTGAAGAACCTGAGGGATTTTGAAACGTCAAAGAAAAAAGTAAGAAGGCATCGGAAATAACTACATAGATGCGTGTTCTCCAAGTTTTCTCGCATCTTGGCATAGTTAGCTATAGGGCGTTGCATGTGCCTTCCGAGGTTGAATTGTGAAGCGGATTCGTGTTTCAAACTTGTCGTCATCTTCGGAAACCCAGAGTTGAAAAAGTCAGAGCCCCTACCGACAAACGCGGAAGTGTAGAAGCAGTTTTAATGATGGAACCTTTCCTTCCGAAGACGATGTTCAGACCAAAACTTCGGGTAGGTTCAATAAAAGTTGCACTTTTCGACCTTGAAAGGCACACAGGAAAATTATACTCCGTAAGTTTCGTTGGTCAAAGATTGATTTTATATCTTCAACACAGGGGAGATAGTGTGAACTGGTTCAATTCGACATGATATGCGATTTGCTCTGAGACCAAATTCCCTCCCCTAATGGGCGCATTGTCTTCGGAAGTTAATGCATGCTGAAGCGAACAATTTTTTTCTGAAAAAAGCTTTTGGCGAAAAAATGGTCGTTTCCTCCATCCAAAAGGTTATAAATTATTAAAACATGTGCACGTAGTAACGTCGAGCTTGTCCCGGAGAAGTCAGAAGCATTTCTCTTGACTGCAGTCGCTGATGAAAATCGTGGAAGCTACACACCGATTCCACAGACCTTTTTTCGAAATTTTCGACGGTAACGAACTTTTTTCCTCTTTGAATGATTCTTTACAATGACATTGAGACGTGGCGCTGAAGTCGGCGAGACGGTTGAATCGCTGTCCGAACGCGACGACGAGACCTGAAATGGAGCGCCATCAACAACAAAACGTAATCTCCTCATGAATGAATAATTCGCATTGGAAAAAAAGAGGAGAGAATTCATGAGGCAAAGGATTTTATTCAATTTGACGTTCGTTAAATGGATGATCCACCTTCAGCGGACGATTCAGAATGAATAACAAGTTCCGAAAATAGTGGGGTAAAGCTGGACGGAATTTTTATTGAGCCCGGATGAATAACAAGATTTTTGTATAATCATTCCCAGCCCTAGTTGCGGTTCATAGGTCTCCGAATCTCAGCAAGCACGGCAGAGATGATTCTGACCAGGTCCGCCCTTGAAGATCCAGTTCACAATCATTTTTGGTTATCTTGTTCTAGGCGAGTGATTGAAGTGATAGTTCAGAACTATACAAAAGTGGTGAAGAAAACGCGTATTAGGCTTCAAAAAGAAGAAGTTAGGGTTAAGAGCGAGAACGTGATAACAGGAGTTGGAAGGGGTATTCGATTAAACTGTTCCACTGCATACAGCTGTCTACAGTAAGTTGCCTGCATGAGTGTGAGTCTCGGTGCGAATGGTGCAACCCCTCCAGCTTTAACGACGCTCAACAACTCGCCCGCCTTGAATGTGTTCGACGGCTAACCCGGTTCAGGGCCCTTATTACGCCCTGTCTTGGCCGTTTCTCAGCCCGACAATGTCCCTGAGGCTATTCTTAGGGGTCATATTAGCTTCCCCTTCCAGTGGGAGAATTACAGTGCGTTTCATAATTATAAGGTCACCCTCGATTTTTGCGATTCTAAAGAAAGCAGCCGGAACGGAATTTTTTGGCAAACACAGGGATTCCTCATCACAATGTACCTCCGTATTCAAATTTTGATCGCAATATCCTTCACCTCAAATTTTTTATGAACTTTTTGAAGATAGTGTCGACTTTTGCACCGTTTCATAATTATAAGGTCACCCTGAGAAAGTAAATGATTTATTAACGTTGATGGCATATGTGCAATACTTAATAATCTGTAGCTCCTCCTTGTTTAAGAGCAACATCAAAGAGTTCCCGTGGCGTACTAGAAGCTAGGTTTAGGAGATGTTCCTCATCGATTGCTCTCAATGCTTCGATAACTGCTCGCTTCAGCTCTTCTGTGCCCTGGAAATGACGGTTATTCGCATAAACCTGTCTGACTATTATGCCCCGGATATGTTCCGTGATTGTGATCGGGACTGCAGGCTGGCCGTGGCAGGACGTTTATTCATTGGCATTGCAGCCACTCATCCGCTGCACGGCTCACATGAATGAAGGAGTTGTCTTGCTGAAAGACA